TTTTCTCTTCTCTCTCTGTCTCTCAAAGATAAATAGGAGTTATCCAAGGGGAATGGGAATGGGGAGAAGGAAGGCTGGGGTAATAGTTGAAAGAAGAAATAAAATGGACCATGAACTAGTGGAAAGGCAGGTACCAAGAGAAGGCTGAAGGGGTAAATATGGGTCAAAACTCTTTAGGCGGAGTGACCGACTTTTAAGATTTTGCACTTTATCCTGACATTAATGGGGAGCTATTGAAGGGTTTAAAGAAGGCAGTAACAAGATCAGTCTTTGTTTTAGAAAATCACACTGACCAACAACAATGTGGAGAATGAACTATAGGTGTTCAAAACAAGTTACCTATTCTTTCTCCTCTTTGTTGTGTTTTTCTTTGACAGTGGGAAAATTAGTCAAGATGTCCCAGAACCTAATTTGGAACAAAAGACATTTAGATCAAACTTTCATCTTGGTAAACAATACTGTACTGAACTTCTCCTTGCACTGAAAAGTATTTGTCCACTGTTTCCCCTGAACCATGAAAACTACTCATCATGTAGTGTCTTCAGGTCATTAGCTTGCGAATTAACACAATAGGGCTATGACATTAAAGAAATTTTTAAAGATGTTCTGATCAGGAATTATTATCCTTTTATCTACAATGTTAAAAAAATTAAATATCACCATATTAATATCACTTGTATATTTCATGAGAAAACTTTAGAAAACTCATATTTAATTAAGTGGAGTTTTTCCTTAATTGGGATGCAAATAGTCTACTTCTGGCTTTATATAATATTCTTTATATAAATAATGTAGTATTCTAAAATCATAAAAATACACAGTGATGCTGTTTTCCTTTTTTTATATACCTCATTTTCTTCACTCTGAAAGTTATATGTTGTGCTGCATCAGCAGATTGTATACCTATGAAGACAACAAATGATCCCTGAAGGCCATTATTTTTAATGGGTGAAGAAAAGGAGTTCTTAGATCTTAGTTCTATCTTAGATCACACAAATGCAAAACAAATTGTTTGGTAAAATACTCTGAGTTTTAATATGCAAGAATAATGCCTTGGTTTACTGCAGATATTAAGATTCATTCAATCACTCATGCCTTGTTTAGTAAAGTAATGCCGGAAAGAATGGCATTTGCCTTCAATAAATTTTGGCAGTTTGGCATAATTTTTACTTTGTGTTAAAGAAAACCAAAATGAGAGCAAGGAGAACCAATTATAAAGAGTGCTTTAGTCTGGCGAGGATGCTTGAAATGGCCAGCTTGTAGCAAGCAGGGCCAGGCCAAGAGCTGAGAAATTAAAGTTTGTATGGTACGTGGTATGTTTTTGGTATATTGAAAAAAGAAGTGCTTCAAGAAAGAAGCCAAAGAATGGTAAGTGTTTCTGGTTTTAACATTATTCCTGTTAGTTTGCTAGCCCGCCCAAGAGCTACGAAGTTAACAATAAATCAAATATATTTTGTCACAAGATAGCACATAGAAACAAATTATTTTCTGCCAAAGTATTTCTACTAACCCTATCCACTCCCCAAATTTACACTTACTGTCAAAAATTAAGAGCTATCAAATAAATTCAAGGCTGGGAAACATTTATGGGATGCCTCAGTAGCCTGGCACTCCGTTATGTTCTAGGAACTCAGGACAAGTAAGTGATGATCTGGTCTTCAAAGAGGCAAGTGACTCTTGGCAAGGCTGGGTTACTTTATTTGCCAGAAGGCCAGAGCAGAATACCTTCTCCAGGTCATTCAAAACATATGACACATGACATTGTACCAAATAACAAAGCACATCCTACCTCACTGCTCTCCTTCCAAACCTAATCCTTATGTTAGTAGAACTAACTTTTGAAAGCCTCTATTTGAATATCAGATTGCAGTAAACCCTACATTCTTATGTGGAAGCATAGTATTTGAGTAAGTCCTGAAAACATAATATGCATGACACTTGCTTCAAGGTGTATTAAAAACATAACAATTCATGTTTAGTTTAGTTTCTCAAAGTCAAAATTTGAGAATACAGTTGGATTTTATATTACAGATAGTTGAAAGAAAGACTCATTGCAAGGTCAATATCAGTACTTGTTAAAATACTATTTGAATTTGGGGGGAGGGTGTAGTGTGACCAGGAAACAGTTTTTCTCAGTGGATAACAGTGACACAGACACCTGTTATTTCCCCAGCTAAGTATTAATTGGAAAGGCTTATAAAAATTCATCCTCCTTGTTTTTCTTTTGTAAATTTGAATGTAAATAATGACTCAAATACATAATTTAACAAGTATCGTTATTGCTGTGATATTGTTACTTGATCACTCCAGTTGTCTCAATTTGCTCATGTCCTTTGCTTTAATTTTTCTTAAAAAAATGTATTATATAACATTACTTACTATTTATCTTAATGAATATGCTAGGTACAATAGTAATAGACTTCCATGAACTGTAGATAAAATAGTTAGAATTAACTTTGACATCAAAAACAAAAACAGACAAATAAAAAAAACTTTCTGTTCTCACAGTTCATGATATGAAAGTTTAACATAACAATCTAAATTGAAAATTAAAAAGCACTTCACTGATAGAGCAATCCCACAGTCCCATTATGAGAAAATCTGAAGTTTTTCACTATCAGAAATAGTTGCTTTGAAAATAAAAACATGATCAACTAAGAAATCACCATAATTAATGCAAATAGTGTTCAGATATTTATTATTTTCATCAAAGGAGGTGCCTGTTGACTTTAGTTCTAAAGCAGCAACACATTAAGAATTTTATTAATTTTTCCTATAACATATAAGAGAGCTTGATTTGTGATTTTTCCCTTTTAGAAAAAAATTTAAAAAGCTTGATACCACAAAAGTTTTAAAAAGCTAACTCTCCTGCCTGAATAGGGTCTCTATAAATGGCGAATCAAGGTTGTACAGAAACATATTAATCACAAAAAGTATTAATTAAGATAAACTTTAAGGATGCATTTCCCAAGTTTACAGCCCTGCCTAATGGCTAACAAAGACTTCTTTATTTGTTAGTTTTCATACATCCATGTCCATGTGTGAACCAATACATTTTGGTCTATCACTTTTATAGTTATAAATCAGACTCATGCCCAACTCAGAGGCCCCAAAATCCGGGTCTTTAAGAAAAAAGGACAGTGGTGGTGATGCTGCCTGGGAGAGTGTGGGCTTCCTCTGGGTTGCTAGGCCGCCTTTCTGTGGACCTAGATGTATAACCTACTTTCATTTGTCTCTAACGACTGAATTAAAACACTCATTTATCTCCAAGTCATTATAACGTAGAAACTGTGCACTGTCTACACATCATGGGCTGTGAAACAGCAGCCAGCACACATGACAGACTCAGTATGTTTGAAATGTTGGAGCAAATGGGGTGGTTGGTTTTGAATTCATTTGCACTCATTTTTACTACTTGAGACACGCTCATTAAAAAGCTGTATTTCAACTATGTTATATGCTCCCATTTAACTGAGCTGGATTTTCTCAGCACTGCTGCCTCTGACTTTTTAATTTGCTTTGAACAGGAGTATTCTTCCAAGTCGTGGACGATTCAGGCAGACTTTATCAGGTAAAGCCAAGTCTTCCTCTTTGCCTCTGCCTTCCACCCTGCTCCGGGGACCCACAAGTTGGGATTGCAGCTAAAGACGGGAACTGCAGATCCCAAACCGGAGGGCTGAATCACGCTCACTTTCTTCAGGGCAGCTGCTCACTGGCAGTCTGCTCTGCACTTAAACCCTTTAAAGCTACAAGCAAACTTTGGGAAAGTTACATCACCGTAAACAAAAACAGTTGCTTAAGTTATTATTATGCAACATTGTGTGATTACACATCGACACAGCAATTATTTTCCCAATTTGGCAAATACGACCCGCTTTGCAGCTTCAGGGGAAAGTAAAAATCCGGGATACCTTCAGGAATGGAAAAGGTTTCCCACCCTCTGCAGAGATACTTAGGTTTTATCCTGCAAACAAAGTGGGACGCCAAACCATCTCTCAGGTCTTTCGAACCCCACATTTTAAATGTAAATGATTGGTCTGGGGTGATCCATATGCTCGGAAGAGCAATACAATCACGAGCACGTGAAATTCTGGATGTGCTTTTTAAAAACTCTCAGGCATCAGTACACATCTGGTAACTAATTTATCAATTAGCCTTCCCACCCGCCTTCCCCTCCGCAAAAGTCTGGGTAACCACTGGGCATTGTCTGCAGCCCAGGTGAGCTCTACAGATCGGGTCGGAGATTGCCCCCGCCCCCACCCTGCCGCTCTGCAAGCACTGCAAGGCTGGGTGTCTAAGCAGAAGACGAATCAAACACGTTCCGGATACGTTTTATTAAAAATTTGAAACCAGATAAAAAGGATCAGTTTGTCAAAAGCAAAACAAAAATGGTAACTACTTGTCGAAAGAAAAGAGAGCGAGGACAAATGACCCGCGCAAGTGCATATGACCCTTTTTCTCCCTAAGCTGTCTCAGAGCAGACAGAGGATGGGGGCGAGGGAGGGAGGGATGGAAGGAAGAAAGAGGATTTCGAACATCATCTCCCAGTCTGCAAAGGTCTGGCCTCCCCTGTGCTCAAGAAGCGGTGGTAGCCATTTTCATTTTTTCCCCCCTAAACGTAAAAGGAAAATAAAACAGAAAAGGTATATCTCCTTTCCTGCACTAACGGCTCTGCTCGTCTTTCTACAGGGGAAAAAAAAAAGGATTTTAACAATCTCAGGTACAAAACCTAATCCGCATGCATCCAGTGAGGCTTCAACTCGATTCGATTTGGCGACCCGCACTGAAGGAGACGTGATCTTGAAAAATCAATCCGTGCTCGCGCCCCCAAGCCGCCGCCGCGGCCGCCGCAGTGGCCACAAAATTAGCGGCTCCGAGGACGTTTTTGCCGCAGTGCACGTCCGCCGTAACCGCCGAGCACTCGGGTGAATAATGCCAGTACAGTGAGCTGACGATCGGGCTGATTGATCACGCAAAATAATTCACGACTTCAGTCCGGCTCTCGGTCCTGCCACTTTAAATCACAAACGCGCGTCTACACCGTTCTATAGGGGCCCACACATGCATGGTACACGTGTGTGCGTGTGTGCGCGCGCGCGTCTCTGCGCGCGCGGAGGGCCAAGTGAAATGATTCCAGATTGCATCACATATAGGAACCGGGGGAAAAAAGAGCCAAAGAGCCCCTCACCCCTACCACTACCCCCACCTTTTGCAGCGTGGACAAGTGGCTTGTAAGGCAGCTTGGAGCAAAATAAAGTCTGAACAAAACTAGACTGTGAGACTAGCACGTCGCAGAGTGAGTGAGTGACGTTAACGCAGACTCGGTAAAGACTCACTTGCAGGCAAAACTAACATGCCCCCACCCTTTCATTTTTTTAATAAAAGAAGGACAAGAAAATCATTAATTGAGTTCAGATCTTAAATGCTGCTATCAAAATGCACGCACATGTTGAAGACTCTGCGACTGTAATTTCTTGGGTAAACATCTGGTGAAGACATTCCAGGAACACATCTGAAAGGAAGAAAGGCGTAAGACAGCCCCTTCTTTATATATCGTGGGTCAAAAAGAGTTGTTAAAACTTTTTTTTTTTTTTAAGTATGCTCTTAGTGAAAATACCTTTATGAACTCTCAGGACGAATTCGGGTTGGGAGAAGGATTGAACTGGGAGTGGAGTCCTGGGTTCCAGACATTGCCATGGTCTGTGAACTTAGGCAGGTCTCTTTTGCTGTGGCCCTGTTTTCTCATCTGTAAAATTGCAGAGGGTAAATGATATGCTTTCTAAGATATTTTTTTCTTCACTAACATGATTCTAGCTAGAAGGGAATAATGATGGGGTACAAGGAAGAAGTTTTAATGTAGAGAGAAAAAGAGGTCACATTCTTCAGGTGGCATCTATTTAAACTAGTGGTGATGAAAGTGATGAGTCCAGTATGCCTGAGTCCTTAACAATAAAGATTGTGTCTTTAATTAAGAGCTGCTATTGTCCCAGCTCTGAAGTATAGATAGTATATAATGAATGCTCTTTGAGAATGACATTGTAATCTTGTAATTATATTTTTTTGGGTAGAGACTATTTTCAAGGATCAGCCAAAATAATTTTGGGATTGGAGCAATTTTCAACATTCTTATTTATAATCTGTTTGTGAAATTGCATTAAATTACTTGGATAATTTAGAGAAAATAAGTTTTTAGTAGGTCTAAGAGTTATGTGCCATATTGGCTGTCAAGATTGACTGAATTAAGGAGATTAATTACTCTGTCTACTGTTTCGGAAAACAACTCCAAGCAGGGTTGCAGGCAGAGACCACTCTTTGACATTCCTCTTGTCTGTGTCATGAGTGGTCAGGAGTGTGGGTGCTAGGGCCAGACCACTAACTAATTTTCACAGGCACCAGCTGAGTAATCATAGCCAAATTGCTTAGTTGAGTTGTGCCTCAGTTTCCCACATTATAAAATAGGGATTATAATAGCAACTAATTCATAGGGCTGTTGTCAGGATAAATGAGTTATCATATTAAAGTGCTGGGAACAGAGCATGGCACATGTAACCAACAGCTCAATAAATGTTAGAGGTTATTATTACTCCAGTGTAAATACAGGGAAAGCAAGGTCAGATATAATAGAGGGATCTTTGAACTGCTCCTGAATTTCAACTAAGGCCTCTAAGCACTTTATCAGGCTTTTATGATGTCAGCTTAAAGCAGGGAACACAGCAGTCTTTATTAAGAATAAACCAAAACATTCTCTACCAAACTCCATTCCCATACATTCAATAGTGGTGAAGTTGGAGAATTCTCCACTTGACCAGGGCAATGCAAATGTGTAATATTTGGGTCTGTATGTTGAGTGTCTTGACTGTCCAGGTGGTAGGAAGCCAAGATTTTCTTTGGGTAGAAGTTTGCAGGGAATCAGTTCCTGCCTGTTCTGTTGTGATACTTTCTTTCCTACACAATTTGTTAACCTCAGGCCTAGTCTCTGTCATTGAATTATGGGGTCAAAACAATTGCAAATCTCTGGCGTGCTCCCTGCGTGTCATTATTAGTTTAAAGGGGAAAAGCAACATTCTGACTTTTTCTCCTCTCTTAATGACCCCCTAGAGTGCAGACTTGAACCAGGCTTTAGGAAGGGTCACAGGCAAAGAATGTTTAAGGGAGCAATCCCGATAGTGTTTGCATTTGGGGATTGGAGGCGAGCTGTAGTTAAGCTTTATAGAGGAAGTGGAGATTAGGTGTTTCCAGAACAAGGTGGAAGCTGGCAGGCGTCGGTCCCTGCATGTTGGAAAGGTCCCACTTCTTTCTTCCCGTGGCACCTGAAGCCCCAGGTGCACTAACTGTTCTACCAGGAGCCGGGAAGAGACCGCCCCATCCAGGGCCGGCAGACCTGGGGCGCCGGGGGTGAAGTCCAACTCCAAGTTGAGGGGGCTGTACGCGCCGGTTTCAGGTCTCCGTTAGCCAGACGACGTCTTGCTGAAAGCGCAGGGAGAAAAGTTGTGTTCCGAGCGCTAGCTAGTGCGTGCTCCACTCCACTTTGTCAATCTGATTAACACAATCTCCTAAATAAATCAATCAATACAAGAGGGTGTGCTGCCTTTCATAACACCTGTATGCCTTCCTCCTTTTCGCCCGTGGGGACTCCCACTCTCTCCATCATGGACATACTCCCTCTAAAGAGGCGCTGTAAGGTGCCGAAAGGAAACCCAAGGTCCCTGCATATATATAAAGTATATAGGAAATTATATGCTTTAAGATTTTTCCGGAGGCAAAGGTGGGAACCTTGGAGAATATCATTTATCCGCGCCTCCGCAGCAACTTGGCCCGGGGAGCCGCCGGCGCCTGGCCTCGCATAGTTTTCGGAGACCTCCACGGAGTCCCCGCGAGGACCTCACGGATCACGGTCCCCAGTGGCCCGCGGACTTCCCCTGTTGCAGAGATATTGGGGGAATTTAAGAATAAATCCCTTCAGCTCCATCCTCGGTCCTCACCGCTCGGAACGACAGGTCGAGGATCCCCCGATCCGGGTCCTGGAAGGGGGCGGGGGCGAGGGCGGGCGGAGGGACCGAGCGGGAGTCGCAGGAGCTGACCGACAAGGTCACGACCGCCAGGCTGCTGACCGAGGCGCGCAGCGGCCGGCGCCGCCCTCTGGCCCCGGGGCTGACCCCGCGCCGCTCGGGTCTCGGTCACCGGCCTGGCAGGTCCCTAGGAGTAGGAGGGGGGCGACGCCGCAGAACCAACCCTTACTTTTGAGTGGAAGCTGAAACCCGCGGGGCTCCCTGGCGAGCGGTCTTGGAAGGAAGATCAGACGCCCAGCACAGCTGAACTTTTGAAGGGCTCTCTGCTCTGCCACCCTCTTTCCTAGTGGCGACTTGTGAGAGACTTTTGTCCCCTCCCCTCCGCGTCTCCATGCCTGGGGAACTTGGCCCAGATGGCCTAGTTCTCCATATTAATTGGTGGTTCCACCAGCTCAGCCCCGCTTCTCTCAGACAGATACCTTCTAGGGCATCTTGGAGAGAAGGAAACACGTTCAATGCTCCCCCCCTCCCCCACCTCTTTTCGAGGGAGTATTATGTGATTTTAAAATCTTCTAGGTGTTAAGAACCAAACAAAACAACAAAACCAAAAAACAAAATACGCTGCCTTCACGTGAGTGGATGTGAAGTGAATCCAAGCCTTCCTTGGATTCTGAGCCAGCCTTTGCTCAGATAGTAAAGACCCCAAATCCTTCAGGAAAACAGAACCTCTTTCACGCACTTCTGGAGGGGGATTTCATATATTACCATGTTTAAAACGTTTCGCAGAAGCTAGGTTTCCTAAAAGCGACTTGCCAGCGATGCATGGAAAAGCAAATCCGCTTACCGAGAGGAGCCGCTGAAGAGGAAAGGGGGAGGCAGGACCCAGACTCAATTAAAAACCGCAGTTTCCAACTTTTGAACCACAGCACTGATACTGTGGGGCTGGTGGGACTACCTCTGGAGCTGACAGGTTGCAGACCTCTGGGGCTCTTTTTCACTGCTTGCTAGAAGTCCCTGGCTTCTTGGAGGTAACCCTTCACAACACTCAGAGTTAAGCCCCCCACCTTTAGTGTTTGTGGACATGTGTTTGAGCTCAGCATCAAGCCTTACTCCTTATCCACTTGGGGTGGATAAACTCTTGTTCTTCAGCTGGCAGTGTGTGCACCCAGGGTGGGAATGTGGGTGCCGGTTCAGGCAAAGATGTGAAAGATGTGTGTTTGTGCCAGTATGTTGTCTGACCCCCTGTCCCACTGCTAAGGAATGAGCTCTAATGCAGCCCTTATCTCCAGATATTCTCCCTGGAGTTTTCTTTCTGAGAGAAAACACCACCTAAATTATCTAGCAATCAAGGTTTGTGCATTTTGTATAATGAACTCAAGAGAAAAGTTGCAGTTTGCTAGATGTGTGATTTCTCTGGTCAAGGGTGCTTGCAAAGGTTTTAGACCCTACCACTCTGAGGGTGAAATCACCAAGAGTATTTTGCCCAGAAAGTATAGCCTTCCAGCTTCATGAGAGTAAGGTCTGCTTTCCGTAAATCTCAAATCATTCAAACAATAGCAAAACAAGTCTCAATTACCCGCCCCCTTCAAAACACAAATGCACCCCTCAAATATTTCTGATTCTCTTGTGGTGACCAAGGCTATTTTGTAGCATCTTAAACTATCTCTTTTGGCAATTCCAACTTTTACAAAGTTTCTTGCTCTTTACCAGATAAGTTGCACTTGACCTGTGTGGAATACAGGCTTGCCTTTGAGCCCTTGACTATGCTTTCAACTGGTCTTAAAGGTTGCATTTTAGTCTTAAGGGATAAAAATGTTGCTTTCACCCTGTATACAGGAGAATGTTGGACTGCAAAGTGGGCAAGTCTGTAGCAAACTCGATCTCTGTCCATCACATGGACAGTTTCAACGTGCCAGTTCTTGTCTGCTAAAACACCAGGGCAAGGTACTCCGGTCATCTCTTTCTCTGACTCACCAGGTCCAGGCTCTTGCGCTGCGGATGCTGCACACACCTGCCGATTTTACAGCATTGAAATCGGTTCAGGGCACCCGAGAGCAGGAGGACCCCTTTTTCTGTTGGAGCAACTTCATTAAGAAAGTGCTAGACCTTCACAAAAGAAAACACATTGTGCTTAAGCTTGTTTTTTCTTTGGAAGCGCGTAGAGACCGGGTCCACCAATATTCCGGGTAAAGTTAAGGCTACCAGAAATGTGCACTGTATTAGAATGCCGACTTGGGACTCACTGAAGATCAGACTGTTACAATTAATCTCGTTTCTTTTTGTTTCCATTGCTTTATTTTTCCTTAGGTCTCTTTCCTTCTTAGTGTTCCCTACCTCCTAAAGTTATGAGTTAATAAAAACATTGCCCTATTTTTTAAAAAAATACATAAAGTTGACACTAAATTTCAAGTTAGTGTTGCAGCTAAACTCTCCTGGAGTCTAGCGATCGGTTCGCCTCATCTCTGTAATGCCAGCACTATTGTTCTTAAAATTTACTAAAATAATCCTTTCAAAGCCTTTGAGAAAATGTAAGAAATGCTAATTGGAAAAAAAAATAACCGAACTCTCACTTATTTTACTTTCTCAGATCAAGGAAAAGGACTTCAAGCAAAATAATAAACTTTAGGTTGTTTATTTTCAAGAGACTCTATTTTCAGTAGCTCTTTTTCTTCCATAACTAAGTCACGAGCTTTGTTCGATTCCATGTCCACGTATCCCCAAGTGCTCCCACTAGCCCAACAATCAGTTCACACCGCGAGAGACCGCAGGAGTGGACACCGTCCTAAGGGGACCCTCCCTGTATTTGCTCCCCGACTAAAGCGCTCAATTTCAGAAGATACGAGAAAATGTCTTCTTCAGAAACTACCAATGGAGGAAATGATTTACCTAATTCATTCAAGAGCCTCTATAGGAAGGACTTTGGGCCTGGAGATCCTCACACTAGTGAAAATCCCTTTAGTCCTTCCCCCTCTGCCCCGCGAGGGACCGCGTCAGCTGTCTGTCCAAGATCGGCCCTGACCAGCGGCTGCCCCCCCCCCCCGATGTGCCCCCAGATGGGGCACAGCCGGGGCGCACAGACGCCGCCCGCCCGGACCACTATGCGATTCGCCACTTCGCGACCCTGGCCACCCTCTACCCTCCTCCCCACCCCCAGCAGGGGCCCCCTCCTCCCGTTTTATCTTCCTTCTCACCCTCCCCAGTGGTTTTTATGGGGGTAGGAAGTAAAATGGTAACGTTTCCTCCATCGCGATGCCCACTTCCTCAGCCGTCTCCCACCCGGGTGGATTGGAATTAAAATCCGGGAATTCAACTTTGCTGCGAAACCTCTGGTTCTTAAGGAGGGGCCGGAGGGAAGGAAGACCCCGCAGGGAACACGCGGCCCAAAGAGGCTCCCACCCCGCCCCACTGCCATCCCGCGGGGAGGATGAAAGCAAGGTCCCGGGAGGGGCCGCTGCCTCCCCGAGGGGGCGAGGGCTTGGGGCGGAGGCGGCTGGGGCCAGGTGGCTAGTGCCGGGCCCGGGCTTCAGGGTTCCCGGTACCCAGACCCTCTTCCCAAGTAGCGCGCTCCAGGCCCTGCAGGTGCACCCTCCGCCCCCTTTTAGGCCCCCTCGGTGAAAACCGCCTTCCGGCCCAAGTTCGGTCCCTGGAGGCTTTGAACGTGGCCTTTCAGAAGTTTTTCAAGCTGCCCCGCCCCGCCCAGCATTCACGGGTCACACTCTTCCCCCGATCCCTCCACCCCCGCTACAGCTGCAGCGCCGGGTGTGGGGGGTGGGGGAAGGGGGCGGGCCGGCGGAGGCTCCGGGGTCGAAGCACCACCTCGGGAGCCAGGCTGGGCCTAGAGCGCTTGGAGATCCGCTCCCTCTGCAGACCTCGGAGGAAGCGCAGACACAGCTCCCGCACCGCACCAGCCCGAGGGGGAGGGGGTGGGAGGGGAGGGCCGAGGTGGGGGAGAGGAAGAGAGAGCGGGCGGGGGCGGGGGGCATGTCCACATTACCAGGGTTCCTTTGCCGGGCGCCAGCCAAGGGACTATTTAAAATGGCCTTGAGGGGAGGCCGCTGGTGACCGGTGTCCTCGCCCTCCAAGTTCCCCGAGCGAGTCAGGGCGCCACCTACAGGCGAGTTCCAGATTGCAGAAGGGAGAAGGGGAGAAACGGCCGGTCAAGAAAAGCGCCCCAAGGGAAGCAGCAGGACCCCGTTTTGTCCAGGGGGCCGTCTCGCCGCTCCTGAGTCTGAAATCTGAGCTCCAGAATTACGGATCTGTTAGAAGAAGCGGGAGTCCCGAGGGCACTGAGAATGAACTTTTGGGGAGTGGGGAATTGGGGTGGTAAATACAGGAATCCGGGAATTCGTGGATCAAAGAAATCCCTCCTCCATGCTAGTCCGAGGGATTTGCAGTTTGTTTCACTAAGAGTGGCCGTGTGACCTTGGACAAGTTACTTGATCTTTTTGAGTCTTGATTTCTTCATCCTTTAAAAAGGGAAATAGTGATACCTGTATGACAGGATCCTTTCTAGAGTTAAACGGCGGCGTACTATGAGATGCCTTCTAGAGGGAGCTTTCAGCGATGTTTAATAAGAAAAAACTGTCTCTTACTCTAACAAATCTAACTTATAAGCCCTTGTCTACTGTTTTCTGTTTTTGGAAGATTAGGGCCTTAGAAGAGGGTAGAGAGAGCCAGAGGGAGATGAGTGTCTGATTAGAAGGACCTGTTAGTAGAAGTTATGATAACTTCTCTAGCTAATCCCCTCCTCATAGACAAATAATAACATTCTAATATGGATAACTTACTATTGCTATTTTGGGGCTTCCCAGGCGACACGAGTGGTAAAGAACCTGCCTGCCAATGCAAAAGACTAAAGAGAGACACAGGTTGATCCCTGGGTTGGGAAGATCCCCTGGAGGAGGGCATGGCAAACCACTCTGTTATTCTTGTCTGGAGAATCCCATGGCCACTGTAGCCTAATGGGCTTCAATCTATAGGGTTACAAAGAGTCAGGCACAACTGAGCACACACACACACACACTATTACCTCATTTAATTTTTATCACCTTTCATTGTTTATGTTATTCTCATTTTGAATATGAGGAAATAAAGGCAAGAGGATACAAGGAATAGTTATTTTGCATCTTGAAAGACATTTTCCTATGTCAACAACTCAGATCTGTATTTCAGAATCTACCTTTAACATCAATTTATTAAGCATCTACTATGTGCATGTGATTTCATAACACTTCCATGAAGTAGGACTTCAAGTTTACTCTTCATAGAAGAGGAGACCTTGGTTCAGGTTGATGGGGGTTGGGGGGTGGGAGGGTGGGAGAATAGGGGGTCACTTAAAATCCTGCAGCGAAGTGGTGGAGCCAGGTCATGGAGAGCCCAGCTCTTCTGATTATACATCCAGGAGCCTTCTATTGCACCATAACTTAGTATAGTTCCAACTAGCTTTGGTA